TTTTCTTCTTGTAACCCAGCTTCTCGTATTATTTGCTCAGTATACAGGTTGAATAAGTATGGTGAAAGAGTACATACAACCTTGTTGCACACCAGAGCTCCTCAAAATTTAAAGTGACAATTAAATTATTAAATGCTGTCAAATCCGTTCCAACTCATAGCGATCCTGCATATGATGTCTGCATATGGTTTCTGAGGCTTTCACGGTAGCAGAAAGCCTCATTTTCCTCCAATGGAGTGGCTGGTGGGCTGGAACCAAGGACCTTGTGGTTCGCAGTACAGTGCTTATCATAATGTCTCAGAATTGGTTCTTCCTGTTCTTGGTCCTGAGCCAATCACTGTGACCAGGAAAATAAAATAAATTGGTTGGCGAGGTCTGAGTCCTATACCCAAGCCTGGACTGGAGCATGGAGGTGCAAATCAGCCTCAATTTAAATTCAAGAGAATTTCCTGAAGAGAAAACCAAGTCTGATATCCAGCCAGCGAAAACCCAAGAGACGTCTGTTGTAATCTTGAGTCCTGGTGAGGACTGAATCCCAAGGTTGGTTTGAACTACACGATTGGTGGTTCAAACTCACCAGGCAGTCCTTGGAAGCCCTATGTGAGGTAGCTCCAAGTCAAAACTCACTCAGTGACACTTACCACAACCAACAACATCCTCTTCCCTGCCCAGCTGGTGATTAGCACACAATTCATCCCCTCACCCCCTTCCTTATTTTGTTCTTCATTCAACTGTAATGCTTTCATCTTTCCTGGTGATCTTGTTAGGTTTTATGTTTGTTTGTTTGTTTGTTTGTTTTTAAAAGGCTGCCCATCAATTCAACTCTGACTCACAGACCTCAGGTAAAACTGTGCTCCCCGGGTTTTTGAATGGTTGAGTTTTCAAAAGGAGATTGCCAGGTCTTACTTCAGAGGCTCACCTGGGTGGACTCCAACGGCCAACAAAGGACTTTAACCTGCACCACCCCGGGATTCTGGTGGCCATGTACCTCCCCTCTTTATACTGAATTGTAGAAAAATGGCATTTCTCTGCCTTTGACAACAGAGGGTGTGCCTGAGTTTTACATATTTACCTGACATAAACTAGACTATTCATTAGTGGGAACCTGAAAAGGGAGTTCGAGAAACAAAAATGTCAGGGTGGAGGTAGGGGGATGAAAAAGGTGGGGCTGGGGCACAGAGGGAGCCAGACAGGAAGAATTTGGGCGAGGAAGGGGGTTAGTGAGACGAAAGACTGTAGAAATGTGGGGGAGGTAGGAGTTAGGGAATGGAAGAGACATGAGGGGCTCAGATGGACACTGTAGAGAGGACAGACGAGGAGGTTGGGCGAGGAGTCATAGCTAGGAGACTGGAGAGGGTGGGACTGAGGGCAGATCGGGCCCAACTGGACAGTAGGAAATGGAGTAAGAGAACGGGAGGGGGGCGGTCAGAGGATGGGTGCTTGGGTGTAAGCAAGAGTGACCCGAGTTTCTTTGCAAGTATTGGAACTTAACAGTGGAGGCTGGGCGCAGCCAGCAGACCCACGCAGTAGAAAAGACCGAGGAAGTCCGCGGCGCGGGGCGTGGTTGGGGGTGTGTGTGTATTACGCTACCTCCACCCGCCCCAACTCACACACCCCTCTTTAGCTCCGCAAGCCTTCGCCTCTGGTCCCGTCTCCTTCTTGAAAGTGACGGAACCTCCGTCCAACCAGCACCGCGGGCCGGGCGCCGCTCAACCAATTACGCAGAGGGGGGAGGAGCTGGGGAGGGGGCTCGTAGGACCACGGGAGGGGGCCAAAGGCCTCGAAAGGCTCAGCAGCGGCGATTGGCAAGCCATGGCGCTGGGGCTGCAGCGCGCAAGGTACACGGGTTCTAGGCCATGGGTAATGGGAACTGGGAGGCTCTCCTGTCTGGGACCCCTGAACCGGGTGTGGGGGGGTAGTGTACGGGTACAAGCCAAGGACTCCCGGGGCCCGCGGAGCCACATCACCCCCCACCTCCCCACCCCGCCTGATGCCTTCCAACCCAGGGCACTTGCAGGGGTGAAGGATTGCCCCAGACCCTAGGTGTCCTGCTCCTCCCACCAGGATCGGCTTGGGTGATGATCCCTGAGTTCCTGCGCTTCCCCTTCTGGTGGGGGTGAAACTCCGGGTCCCCAGGAAAGTGGGACTGGTTGAGTTTGAGCAGTTCCCTCATCTCTGGGGGAGGCATTCTCCTACCACATATTGCCCCTTCTGGCCTTGTTGTTGTTAAGTGCCGTCGAGTCCGTTCCGACCCATAGCGACCCTGTATAAGGTTTCTTAGGAGCAGCTGGTGAGCTTGAACCACCGACCTTGCAGTTCAAACGGCTTTGCAGTCTGGCACATTAACCCACAGCGCCACACCAGGACTCTCTCTGGTCTTGGAACCCCCCAAATTGATGTCTTTTACCGTCAGCTCTCTAACATCCTAGGAGATATTTGCTGTTGTTGTTAATGGAACGCCCAAATTGAACCTTCTCAGGTATCAGGAATACCTGGGAATCGGCATTGAGCTCCTAAGATCAAGAGAAGAGGGGTCCCTTTTGATCCATTGCTTCCTGACACACCCTTCCAATTCTTGACTTCCCCTAGAATGAACAGAAAGGAACTCTTCTTCTAAGGGGTCCTTTGTCACCTTTGAAAAGTAGAGTCACCCCCTTTAATAACAGACAAGCTTGATCCATTTACCCAAGTCCCTTGACTTACCCTCCCCCAAGTTGAAGGGACTGAAGAGCCCCACCCAAGCCTTATTTTGGGGAGGCCCCTAGGGGCGGGGCTGCATTGCCTGATTCCTTGGGAACCTCTGTGAGCCATGATGATAGCGCCCCCTGCTGAAGTGCCCTAGCTAAGGGGCATTTCTGTATTCACCCCCCCACCCCCACCCCACAGGTGCAGAACTCCTGAGACGGGGAAGCTGTGCCCTGGGGTCCATCCCCACGGGGCCTTAGCTGCCCACGTTCTCAGGGAACCCCAGAATGTATCCTAAGCCCTTGGTTATCCCTGTCCAATCTGAGGCGTCCAGCAAGCCTCACCCCCGTCCCTCCTTCCTGACTTCACAAGGCTGATTGGATCTGTCTACACCCCCATGTTTCTCACCCCCCACCCACCAAGGTTTTCCCCCATCCCATTCTATTCCCGTCCCTGGCTCTGGGCCCACTAGGGAACTCCATCCCACCCACTTCTGGGCCAGCCATAGCGCCGCCCCTCCCAGCGCCCCCTCCTGGCTGGGTGGGGCCCCTCTTGGCTGAGCTGGGGTGCGCCCCCCTCCCCACCCAAGGCCAGCCCTTTCCTGTCAGGTCATCCCGCCACCACCACGCACCACCCACTCATAACTCGCACCCGGATCCCAGCCGCATCCCGTCCCTTCCTGCGCCCTCAGGATGGCACCTCGGCCAAAGGGGGTCTGGGTGATGGTGAGTAGGCCCCCACACCCCTTTCTTCTTGCTGGCATCCCACCCTGGCCAAGGGTATTCTTGGGGAGCCCCTGGTGGGTATACTGCCGGGGGTGCTCACCCGGGGTAGAGAAGATTCTGGAAAAGATAGGGTTTTGAGGACGTGCACCTTCTCAATAACCCTAGCCTTAGTACTGAGCAGAATTGGGGTCAGAGAGATCCCCCAGGTCCCTTCTCAAACCTACCCCTGGTCTCTCAGGCCATCTCTGGGCAGTGCCAAGAGGGAGGTCCCTGCCCAGATATAACCTAAGTCCCCCATATCCCTTATACTTTTCAAGACCTTAATACCCAGTGAGTAGAAAAGATGCTCAAGAACAGTCCTGCCAGCGGGATGAGGTCTCCCCATTTTATCCATGCCTTTGCTTGTGGATGGTGAGTTCCTCAAAGAAGGGGAACTGTGGGTTTCTCTCCCTCCTGGCTGGGGAGGGG